CTGGACACAGGTACTGGGATCCCTCTAGTCACTTCCCCATTCCCTAACTATATTGTCTGTTTTCCAGAGGCCAGGAAAATATTAAATGTGCCCAGAGTATGTTGGGATGACCATGTGTGTGGGAAATGCGGAGGTGACAGGAATGGTCCTGAGCCACCAATGCCCAAGGAAGGCTCAGGCTATCCTGAGTGTCAGAGGAGTCTGAACTTGCATGCCTGACCATCTCTTTTAGTCTAGTTAACATCTTTAGCAAATGCCTGACAGGACCATTAAGAGACCTCTGAAGCTGGGTCTGCCATACTTCCCTGTGAGGCCAAGCAGGAGAGCCTCCCCAAGCTCCAGTTTGGCTGGCACCACCCTGACTCCAGAGTTGAGTCCTGTAGGCTCAGGGTCATGCAGTCTTCTGCTATAACTCACCCACTTTATCTGATCAAGAGTCAATGATACTAAATAAAGAAGTCCAAGGTGCATTGAAGACATTGGTAAAGAACAAGGCTCAGAGAATTGTTGGAATACAAATGGAAATCTTTCAACAAACTGATACAACACTGGAGATACTCAACTATGCCAAGAAATTTGGAAGACAGCTATGTGCTCAACTGATTGGAAGAGATCTATATTTGTGCCTATTTTAAAGAAGTGACCCAATGTAAAAATCATCAAATGAATAAAATTAATATCACATGCAAATAAAATTTTGCTAAAGATAATTTAAAAATGGCTGCAACAGCACATCAACTGCCAGAAACTCAAGTCAGATTCAGAAGAGGACATGGAACTAGAGATATCATTGCTGACATCAGATGTATCTTGGCTGAAAGTAGATAATACTAGAAAGATGTTTACTTGTGCTTTTCCACTGTGTGGCTCATGACAAGCTCTGGACACCATTGTGCTGAATGGGTATTCTAGAACACTTAATTGTGCTCATGATAAACCTGTACATAGTCTAAGAGGTAGTCACTAGAATAGAGCAAGTGGATACTGAATGGTTTAAAATCAGGAAAGGTGTGCATCAGGGTTGTATGTTTTCACCATACTTATTCAACCTGTAAGGTGAGCAAATAATCCGAGAAACTGGATTATATGTAAAAAAAATGTGATATTAGGAATAGAAAGGAGCTCTGGTAGCGTAGTGGTTACGAATTGGGCTGCGAACCTTAAGGTCAGCGGTTCGAAACTACCAGCCGCTCCGCGGGAGAAAGATGAGGCTTTCTACTCCTGTAAAGATTTACACCCTCGGAAACCCTGTTACAGGGTCGCTATGGGTCGGAACCGACTCAACGGCACTTAACAACAACAACAACAAGGAATAGAGGAAAACTCATTAACAACCTATGATATGTAGATGGCACAATCTTGCTCACTGAAAGTGAAGAAGATTTAAAATACTTGCTGATTAAGATCAAAGATCAGTCTTCAGCATGAGTTGCACCTCAATATAAAGAAAACAAAAATATTCACAAATGGACCAGTAAGTCACATCATGATAAATGTAAAAAAGATTGACATTGTCAAAGACTTCATTTTTCCCTAGAAAAATCAACACTCATGGAAGCAACAGTCAAGAAATCAAACTATGTATTGCATTATGCAAATCTGCTGCACAAGACCTCTTTAAAGTGTTCAAGAGCAAAGATAGCAGTTGGAGGACTAAAGAGTGCCTGTCCCAAGCCATGGTCTTTTCAGTTGTTTCATATGCATGTGAAGGTTGGCCATAGAACTGATGCATTTGATATATGATGTTGGAGAAAAATGTTAAAAGTACATGGACCACGAAAAAAACAAACAAATCTGTTTGTAAGAAATACAGCCAGAATGCCACTTAGAAGCCAGGATGGTAGAACTTCATCTTTCATATTTGAGACATGTTATCAGGAAGGATTAGTCCTCAGAGAAGGACATCATGTTAGGTAAAGTGGAGAGTCAGTGAAAAAGAAGAAGACCGCCAAGTAGATGGATTGGCAAAGTGGCAGCATCAATGTGCTCAACCATAAAAATTGTGAGAATGGTGCAGGATCGGGCAGTGCTTTGTTCTGTTGTGCGTAAAGTCACTATGAATTGAAACTGACCTGAAAGGCACCTAACAACAGCAACAACATCCACCTCTAGGTTCCCCACTTTGGAATGATCCCTGGAGACACTCCATGGTTCATTGTGGTGGGGAACAGAGACCAAACAGATACATGAGGTTTCAGAGCTCAGTCACAGCTGTGGATATCACAGTCACGGGTGGAGAAGTGTGTTGTTGGGAAGGTGGGCATGAAGGATGTATCAGTAGACTTTTGGGTGAGCAGATTTCTCCATAGTGCATAGGGAGCAGAGAGCAATTTGAGTGCAGCTAGGTGTCCTGGTGTGGCACTGTGGCTTAATGCACCAGACTGCAAAGCCATTTGAATTACAAGGTCGGTGGTTCAAGCTCACCAGTTGCTCCTTGGAAACCCAATACAAGGTCGCCATGGGTTGGAACTGACTCAACAGCACTTAACAACAATGGGAAGGGACCTCCTCCCCTGCCAGGAGTGAACAGTTCCCCCTGGGAGGTCAGCAGTTGCCATAACTCAGGGGAGGTCAGGAAAGAGCTTGGATGGTTGGTTCCAAATTGGTTACTAAAGTGAAATTGAGGGTGTGGCATGGGAGTGCGTGAGCCCATATATGGAGATGGGTTGCCATGGACTTATTCAATATAGTGCTTGTTTTGTTGAGATCAGGAAATTGGAAGGAGGACTAAAACACTAGGTGGGCAATAGGCCGCTGGCCTTAAAGCTGTACCCATGTTTCACACAGATGTGGAGTCACCTTTGAGGAACTCAGTAGTGAAAAACATCAGTATGAGTGTTGAAAGGAGTTCTGACCTTATCAAGTTAGATTTAAGCTCATTTTGAAATCAAAGGTGTAAAGAACATGATCCTGATCCTACTAATCCTCAGGTTTATTATTAAGGGCAAAACTGAACTTCTGTTTTGGTAGGCAAGTCATGTGATTTCAGCTTGGGTAATAGGAGGGCAGTCTTTCATAAAACCAGGAAGGAATTTTCCATGTTGTTTCACTTCTTGTGGTAGAAGCTGATTTGTAGTGTTGTTGGTTATATACCTGAGAAAGAACTTGGATCTTTGATGTTGATTTCCTTTCCACTCCATGGAGCAAGATTAATTTTGGGCAAATGAAAGTTCATGGAAGGTACCAGAATTTGAGTAAGGGTGGTGATCTAAGTAAAACTGGAATTTGAGTCACATCCTCTTGTAAGGTTGTGATTCAAAATACAATCCACTCTAATCCTGTCTTGATAACATACGAGGGTGAATCAACTGTTAGTCGCACACTAGTTAAATTAAAATGCCCGTTCACAGTTGATGACAGCATTGAGACTGCACATGAAATCAAGTGACAGTGGATTGTGTGGCACATCATTTGCATATTAGCCATGGCTCCACCTATGATATAATCCACAACACACGTGGGTTTTGAAAAATTTGTGTGAGAAGAGTATGAAAACAATTCACAGAAGAACATAAACAAAAGCATTTACAAACAAAATTTGGACTCAGATTTTGTTTTTTACTCAAATGAAGTAAGAGTTTCTTAAAAAAAAAAAAAAAAAAAAGTTACTGGTGATGAGGTATGGAATGAAAACATCCTCAATCACCAATCAAGAAAAATTGCAAAAATCAATCATCAGCCAGAACATTGATGCTTATAGTTTCCTGGGGCAGTATTGGAACACTATCAGGAAAAATGGTCAACAGTCAACGGTACTCATTACAGTGAGATGCTCACTGAAGAGCTGAAGCCTAAACTTTGGATTAAAAACAGAGGACTGCTATCTAAGGGCATTGTGATCTTGCATGCCAATGCATGTCTGATACTTCTGCCCAGACTGTTGACACTTTGCAAAAACTTTGTTTTGAGGTATTAAAGCATCCTCCTTATAGTCCTGATCTTGCTCCATCAGACTTTCACCTGTTTGGTCCCCTTAGAACAGCACTTTGAGGACAAAGATTTACCTCAGATGAAGAAGTGAAGAGAGTGGTGCATTTATGACACAGCTCAGTCTAAAACATTTTTAAATGATGGACTGCAAAAGCTTGTTGACAGATGTAAGGAGAGTGTGTTGGAAAATGATGCATTTGTCTTTTGTAAAAGTTGATAAAAATAAATTCTAGCCAGAACACAGATAGTATTTTACTCACCCTCATATATTGTTGTTAAATACTGTTGAGTCATTTGTGACTCATAGTGACTCAGTAGAGGATTTCCAAGGAGCAGATGGTGACTCTGAACTGCCGAACTTGTAGTAGGCAGTCCAGTGATTACTCAACAGTGCTACATCAAGACTCCAATATCATTTATGGAATTTAGGATTTACAAGACTTATCATGGTTGCTTCATGGGAGAAAGTTGAGACAGTCTGCTCCCATAAAGATGTAGTCTCAGGAGCCGTATTTAGCATCCCAATGAGTTGGAATAGAGTCAAGGGCAGTGGTTTTGGTTTCATCACGAAATGGAGGATAATTAAATCTTATCACAAAATGAAAGACACAAACAGAAGTACTAAAACCAGGAGCATCCTGTTTGTGTTAAGGCTTCTTTCAAGCAATCTGGCCATGGTGCCCAACCCTGGCTGTAGATTAGAAACAGTGAGCTTTTAAAATAATGAGGCCTAGATCCAACCCTAGGCCAGTAGAGTTGGAGTCTTTGGGGTGACATGACCTTGACACTTTTGAAAGTTCTGAGTGATGCTAATGTGGCCAGAAAGGACTGCTTCAGAATATCTACGGGATCATGGTGCCCCTCTTAGAGAATTTCTTTTAAGTGATCACCCTTGTTTTCACAGGTCTAACACCCACCTTTCTTACAAGGAGTTAGAAAATCTTACCACTGATGAGGGAAGGGTCCTCCTCAGTGGAGGGTCAAGCAAGTCACAGCAAACAAGATACTGCACTAATTTTATGCTAAAAATAACATGTTTAATGTTGATAAAACCTTTTGTTTTTGTGCAGTGAACTGCTTGGACCAACATGTTCTGAAGTCCCCAGAAAGCATTGCTTTGATCTGGGAGCAAGATGAGCCTGGTACCGAAGTGAGGATTACCTACAGGTATTGTGTATCCCTGAGGGCATCCATGGTGGCCTTCTCATCTCAGCACCTGGCAGATAATGTGTGCCTATTTTGTCTCTGTTTGCAGAGAAAGCTGCATCAATTACTAAGAACAAAACTGCCCAGCAGGCTTTCTTTATTACCTTGGCTTGGCAATACTGAGTGACTTCAGATTCCAATAGAAGTAACTGAGTTTTTGAAATTAGTGTGAAGATTGCTCAGGACACAGGGAAAGTTTTACCAGAGTCCCATGTTCTTGTGTCTAGTTTTGGGGCTGAATATCAGGGAACATGTTTTAGCACTGGAAATGTTTTCTTGTCCCTAAAAAGAAAACATGAGAGGCGGGGCTTGATGGCTGCTAGGGTGGAGGTGCAGTGAAGTTTGCTGCCAGCAATACCACAGACAAAGCAGATCCAGGGCAGAGCTCCAAAACTCAGAAACACAGAGGTAGGTATATTTGAAAGGTTTGAAGACTTACAGCTAGTGGAACTTGTAGCAAAAGTAAGAATTCCTGTACTTTTGAAACTGCCAGGTTTGGCGGCCCCTAGCTGACAACTTAGGTGAAACCAAATGGCAAGTAAAAGTGGGGGAGTAGACACACCACGGTACAATGCCATGGGAACCTCAGAGCAAAGGTGGACAATACACTTTGTCGGTTTTGTTTTGTTCTGATTTTTTTTTTTTTTGGTATTTGTTCATTGCCTACCCCCTCCACTGCTTGTGCACCTCCATGCTGGTGACTAGAGGGGATGCCTGAGCGAGTGGATAACCCCCCACCCTCACCACTGGTGGGTTCTTCTGCCATGAATGCGCTCAGATACTCTCAGCCCCAAGAGCTGGCACTGAACTGTTTTTTTTTTTAAATATCTAAACCCAGGAAAGGCAAGGACAGGGGTGTAGAGAGAGAAAGAGAGTTTTAAAAACAAAACAGGTTGAAAATTAAATTAAATCCTGAGGTACAGCATAACAACCAACGGTGGCATCTTGAAATCCCTCAGGCAGCTTTGAAGGCAAGAAGCTGAAGAGAGGACATTAAAGTCATACTCATATTAGGCTATAGATTTTCTTTTCTCTTCCTCCTCTCTCTTTTCTGCAATTATAGACTACACTATTCAGTCTAGTTTTGTCTTTTTGTTGTTGTTGTTGCTTTTTTGGTATTTATTTTCTTTTTCTTCTTTTGTGTGTGCTGGTCCTGTTTTGCTGTTGTATGTTCCCCCTTCTACCTTTGGGGGATTCTTTCTCTCCCTATATTACCCAAGAAGAGACAGCAACTGCTGCCATATAGTCAAACTACAACCACACTCTATAAAACACCAAAACCAGGCAAGAACCAATGCCAACTGCCATATACCAGGGAGGCAGATAACACCTCTGAAAGTTACTCTGAGTTAAGCAATAAGAAGAGTGAAAAGGGAAGCCCACATCTTGATCACATCTACCTGGAAGCAATCAGCATAAAAATACCAAAACACATACTCAATTTAGTATTAAGGCCACCGATAAACACTAAACATATCCAAGAAGCAAAAGCAGATGACCATACCAGCACATGTCCAGAAACAAGATAAAATGTCTGATACAAATGACCTAAAGGTAGACCTGGACTCCATTCTGAAAGGAGGGCAGGCCTTGGAAATGCTTGAGAAGGAATTCAGAAAAATGATCATAAAATGTTTCAAAACACTTTACAATGGAGTTGAGAAAAATAAGGAAGAAGTCAGGAAAGCGCTATAGGAACAACCAAATAAGATAGATACAGCACTGGAAACAACTCAAAACCTACAGAAAGAGGTCCAAACGATCAATAATAGAATATCAGAAACAGACAATACTATGAAAGGGCAAAGGAATAGAATAGAAGAGATGGAAGGCAGAACCAGTGAGCTGTAAGACAAATTTCTCAATACCACTAAGATAGAAGAGCAAACAGAAAAAAGGATTAAAAAAAATCTGAAGAAGGTCTAAGATTCATGTTGGACACCATGAAGAGGAATAACTTAAGAATTATCAGCATTCCAGAACAAGAAGAATCATACAAGTCCACAGAGGAAATAGTTGAAGAACTGCTGGAAGAAAATTTCTCTTAACATCCTGAAAAATGAAAAGATAAACATTCAAGAAGCTCAACGAATCCCAGGAAGGATTGACCCCCCAAAAAAAATTCACCGAGACATATCATAATCAAGCTCTCCAAAATCAAAGATAAGGAGACAGTCCTGAAAACAGCTATGGAAGAGAGAAGTGTTACATACAAAGGCAAGCAAGTCAGATTAAGCTTGGCTCTCTCAGAAGAAACCATGCAAGCAAGAAGGCAATGGGGAGACATATATAAAACCCTGAAAGAAAAAAATTGCCAACCGAGAATCCTTTATCCAGCAAAGCTGTCAATCAAATATGACAGTGTAATCAAAACACTCCAGGATAAACAGAAACTAAGGGATTATGCCAAAGCCAACCCTCTGCTACAAAGTATCCTAAAGGGAGTTCTGTGAACTGAGAACCAACAAGAACAGACAACAACCAGAGATTGACATATGTGGCAGCACTTCCCAGAAGTCATTTGGCAGAAGTAAGAGTCGAGAACAGAACAAAACTATCAGAACAAACTCAGAGAATCTGGGAGGCCAGTCAATGATCAACACAATTACAATGTAAAAGAAGGAAAGCACATAGGGACAGAGCTCCAGATGGTGAGAAGGTCAGGTAGATTACAGGAAAAAATAGACTGCTCTAAATGGAGAGAAAAGTTAATGGACTATAAGGCAACCTCAAAGAAAATTAACACTTCACAACATACCAAGAGAATGAAAATCCAAGAAGAACATAGAAACATTAAAATTATGAGGAAACTCACAAGAAAGAACACAAAAAGCATGAACTCAACAAAGGAAGAACAAAGAAAGCAGCAACACCACAAAAAAACCCCAAACATAATGGCAGCAATTAATCCATACCTATTGATAATTACACTGAATGTAAATAGATTAAATGCACCTGTTAAGAGACGGAGAGTGGTGGAATGGATAAGAAAACAAGATCCTTCAATATGCTGTCTGCAAGAGACACACCTCACACACACAGACAAAACCAGTAAAAGTCAAAGGATGGAAAAAAAAACATACCAAGCTAATTGCAATAAAAAAAGAACAGGAGTGGCAGTACTAATCTTTGATAAAATAAACTTTAAGGCAAAAACCAGCATAAAGGATAAAGATGGGCATTATCTCATGATTAAAGGGACAAGTGAACAAGATGACATAACCATAATAAATATCTATGCTCCCAATGAAAGAGGTCCAAAATGTATAAAGCAAACTCTAATAGATTTGAAGAAAGAAATAGATGAATCTACAATAATAGTGGGTGATTTTAATACACCACTTTCAAAAATGGATAGAACAACCAGAAAGAAACTTGACACAGACACAGAAGAACTGTGTGCCAACTGGATCTCATAGATGTGTACAGAGCATTCAACCCAACAACAGCACAATACACATTCTTTTCCAGTGCACATGGAACATTCTCCAGAACAGATCATATCTTAGGCCACAAAACAAATCTCCATAAATCTACAAATATCAAAGTACTACAAAGCATCTTCTCAGACCACAATGCTATCAAATTAGAAATGAACAATAGGAAGACCAAGGAAATCAAGTCAAATACATGGAAACTGAATAACACACTGCTGAAAAGTGACTGGGTAGTAAAAGAAATTAAACGTGAATTCACAAATTTCCTAGAAACAAATGAGAATGAAAACACAACATACCAAAATCTTTGGGACACGGTGAAAGCAGTGCCGAGAGGACAACTTATTGCAATAAACGCATACATCCAAAAAGATCCAAAATTAACACATTAACACAGCATCTACAACAATTAGAAACAGACCAACAGAGGGAACCTACAGCCACCAAAAGAAAAATAATAAAGATTAGAGCAGAAATAAATGAGATAGAAAACAGAAAAACTATAGGAAGAATCAACAGGACAAGAAGCTGGTTCTTTGAAAAGATTAACAAAATTGACAACCATTGGCAAACCTAACAAAAGAAAAGAGGGAGAAGACACACATAACATGCATTAGAAACCACATGGGCGATGTCACAACAGAACCAAAGGAAATCAAAAGGAAAACAACAGAATACTATGAAGAGTTGTACTCCAACAAATTTGAAAACTTAGAGGAGTTGGATACATTTTTAGATAAACATGACCTACCAAAACTTACACACAGTGAAGGGGTGGGGGCAGGCTTGCAGGGTATACCTTTTGGTTGGTTGATGATGCATGGAGGGGATGGTAACCATGGCAATGAAATGATACACGATAGGATGAATGTAAAACTAATGTTCTCCTACGTAAGCTATCACATAATTCACAATAAAACATAAAAAAAAAAAGCTAACACAAATGTAGTCAACTTGATTTCTGTGTATTCCATCTGGTGAGGTCCATATGTATAGTCATCTCTTATGCTGTTTTAAAAAAGTATTTAAAATTAAACAGCTCATTGGTTTTTCAGAATTCTATCATGTGATCTCCAGCATCATTTCTGTCACCAAGGCTGTATTTTCCAACTACTGATCCTTCCTCTTTGTTTCCAATCTTTGCATTCCAATTGCCAGTGATTATCAACATATCTTTTTTTTTTTTTTAATTGTGATTTGAGTGAATATCTACAGGGCAGATCATCAGTTTTACATTCAACAAATCATACACCTTGTTTCATTACAATGATTATAATCTCCTCCATGTACCATCAGTTAACAGAAATTTTCTCTATTCATTTTAGCTATAATTATTATTAAAAAAAAACCAACAACACTCAGGCATATATAATAATTGAAACCACCAAAGGGCACATTCTGAAAGCCTGCCTCCAGGCCACCAGCTCTCAGCCCCTCTCTTTCCATGTATCTAGAGTCTTCAGCTGCTCCTTTCTCTCCATATCCCCATCTCTGCCTTCATCTCTGGTGTCACTGCTTCTCTGA